GTGATCGGGGTTTTTGATCAAATCTGGTCGACCTTTGCGCACTATTGATTCAAGAACAAGAGAAAGGCAATCCATTGAAATCATTCGATACAATCGGATTTTTGGACAGTCTTTTGAAGAAGATCAATTCCGATAGGAAGCTGATCGCTCGAGATCAGAACAAGCTCCCCCACGACAAGCAAACTCAACCAGCTTTCTTCGCGCAACACCCATGGATCCTCGTCATATAGGACCAAGAAAATTCAACAATTCTTTGGTGCAAACAAATTTCAAGGATCTGACAGCCAAACTCAGTCCCGTCACCATCATCCATTTGCACCACTTGGCAAAGATCTCTGCAAGCAAAGCGAACACAAGCCGTTCGGTCGCTTCATATTAACTTATGGAGTTCCCCGGGATCTGACACATGTACTGGACGAGCAGCAGCAGATGTTGCGCGTTCAACCCCATCGGATGCATCCGCCCTACAAGGAGGGAGAGAGAGAGAATGGGAGAGGGAGGGGAGGGGAGGGGAGGGAGGGAGGGAGAGAGAGAGAATGGGAGAGGGAGGGAGGGAGGGACATCTTTGCTCAGAGCTCGGACTGCCACATATTCTGTCTGACGGCTCGTTTGCAGCAGGGTACTAGGACAGAACAGGTCAGTGGGAAGGCTTCTAGCTAAGATGGCATTTGCCAGCCTATACTGGAATTGCGTCGACCAGCACTTGAAGGATACAGAGGTAGAGGGCACGGGCTCCAGCTCCGCTGTCCACATACCATCAGCGCACAACTCGCCTATCTACACCTCCATGCGCCACTCTTTTCTCTCCATGCTCACGTCCATGTTCGAGGGGAAGGTGCTGTATGCGTCGCCGACCAGCCGCGTCCTGACCAAGACGCCAAGAGACTTCTACATGCCCAACTACGAAGACGTGGAGATTACGACCAAGGACAAGAAGGTCGTCCACGGGTGGCTGATCAAGAGGAAGGATGCGAAAAGCTCGCCCACCATCATTCACTTCCACGGCAACGCCTGCAACGTGTCGCACATGCTCTACGACGCACTCGGGATGTTCCAGAAGGTCAAGGCCAACATCATGCTGGTCGACTACCGCGGGTACGGCATGTCCGAGGGGACGCCGAGCCAGCGGGGGCTGATCATGGACGCGGAGGCGGCGCTGGACTACCTGCTCCTGCGGCGAGACGTTGTGGATCCAAGCCAGATTTTCCTATTCGGTCGGTCCCTGGGGGGGGCGGTGGCGCTGGAGCTGGCTGCGAGGAGGGAGGATCAGATAAGAGCGATCATAGTGGAGAACACTTTCACTAGCATCGATGATCTGGTCAAGCACTTGTCTCCAGCGTACAGTAAGTACATGATCCGGGCGATGCGCAACAAGTGGGACTCGATGCAGGTCATCCCCAAGATCAGCCGGCCGATGCTGTTCCTGTCAGGACGAGCGGACGAGATCGTTCCTCCTTGGATGATGACGGCGCTGTACAAGGCGGCCGTCCAGTCCGAGGGGCGAGAGCTCGCGGCGTTCCCCAAGGTGAGACCCTGAGGTCCTTTGACCTCCTCCTAGTGTGATGGGCGTGCAGGGCAAGCACAACAGCACCTGCCTGTCTCGGGGATACTACGAGACGATGAAGAGGTTTGTCGACCGTGTCCTCTTGCCTGCTGACGACCACCATGGTGTCGTGTCGTGAGCGGCGCGACGGAGGTCCTCCCCACTGTTTCCTCCAGTGTCCTCCTCCCCTTCCCCCTGCCTTGCTGCTGCTCCTCTCTGCACCTCTGGCGCGTCTTGTGAAGGAGGCAGGATCAAGTGGTGCATGTCGACACCCAACGAGCGGCGCAGGAACGACAGGAGAAGGTTCTTCACTGACTAGAACATCAACACACATCCAAGATGCGCGCCCCGGTCGCATCCAGCAGCTCTCCTCCTCCTCCTCCCCTCCCCCCATAGCTCGTCAGCCGCGGGAAGGCTGGGATCTTGAGACTGATAGACCTCACCTGCACATCAGTGCAGCGTTGACTTCAACAAGCTTTGCGATTGAATGCCAGCCATCTGCTGAACCTCATGCGTAGTGTCGCTGCTGCAGCTCCGAGCAGGAACCCAACAGTCTGCATCGCATGTCATCAGCTCGGGCATCAAGGAGACTTGTCCGTCCTTCACTTCCCCTCCCCCTCTCCTCACACCCATCCCCCTCCCTCCTCCCTCCGCCCACTCCACCATTTCCCCAACTCATCTCAAACCATTCCATCCAGAAATTCTCATCATCTCCAACTACAACCCTTCCACACTCCTCCCCTCTCCATCAACACAAGCTTCCTCCTCTCTCCTCCTCTCTGTTTCCTTGCCTCCCCATACCTGGTGAAACTGTGGCGGTTGATGGTCACAACGGTGCACCTGCCCTTCGCTACCACGTTCGCCGCTCGCGGCGCATGCTTCAGTAGCGCCAGCTCTCCGAAGTAGTCCCCCTTCATGTACTTCATCACCTCCTTCACCGCTCCCTCCGCGCTCTTCGTCGCTATCGCCTCCCCCTCGTACACTATGAAGAAAGTGTCCGACGTCTCCTCGTCCTGCCGAATGATGTATTCGCCGTCTGCATAGGTTGTCTGCACAAGCACGTCCGCGATCTTCCCCCGCTCCTCCGCCGTCAAGCTCTTCAGGATCGGCACGTTCTGCAAGAAAGACTCGTACTGCTTCCTCCGATCCTGCGCTGCCGAGCAGAGCAAGTGCTTGAAGATCTCCTGCCCTAGCGCGAAAAGCTTCACGTTGGTCCGGGCCCGTACCGTCGCAAGCCTCGGGCAGTTGTACATCAGCGCAAGCTCCCCAAAGTAGTCGCCCGCCCTCGCGCACTCCACCAGACGAGTCTCCGACTTCTTCGTGACGTAGATGTCGCACTCCCCAGAGTCCACGATGTAGAAGTTGTCGCCCTCCTCCTCCTGGGAGATGATGACGTCTCCGGCCTTCTTCTCCACCTCGAAGAACGCGCTGACCATGGAGTCGAGCTCGGAGTCAGTGAGGTGAGAGAAGAGGATGATCTTCTTGAGTGAGATCGACAGCTGCAGCCGTTGGAACGAGCTCTTCGGGCTGGACGGGAAGTCCGTGATAGTCGGAAGGGACGGCGAGGCGCTGACCGCTCCCCTTCTCGTCAGCGTCAAAGGGCCCATGGGAAACGGATCCCTGTATGAGTCAGAATCACTATCAGAAGACGAGTTCTGCTCATAAGTTCGCCAGTGTCTCCTCAGAATCTCATCGCAAGAGCCCAGCAGCCGATTGAACGACGCCCTGTCAATGCTCACAACGGTGCACCTGCCCTTCGCTACCACGTTCGCCGCTCGCGGCGCATGCTTCAGTAGCGCCAGCTCTCCGAAGTAGTCCCCCTTCATGTACTTCATCACCTCCTTCACCGCTCCCTCCGCGCTCTTCGTCGCTATCGCCTCCCCCTCGTACACTATGAAGAAAGTGTCTGCACAAGAATCAAATTCCTTGATGATGTATTCGCCGTCTGCGTAGGTTGTCTGCACAAGCACGTCCGCGATCTTCCCCCGCTCCTCCGCCGTCAGGCTCTTCAGGATCGGCACGTTCTGCAAGAAAGACTCGTACTGCTTCCTCCGATCCTGCGCTGCCGAGCAGAGCAAGTGCTTGAAGATCTCCTGCCCTAGCGCGAAAAGCTTCACGTTGGTCCGGGCCCGTACCGTCGCAAGCCTCGGGCAGTTGTACATCAGCGCAAGCTCCCCAAAGTAGTCGCCCGCCCTCGCGCACTCCACCAGGCGAGTCTCCGACTTCTTCGTGACGTAGATGTCGCACTCCCCAGAGTCCACGATGTAGAAGTTGTCGCCCTCCTCCTCCTGGGAGATGATGACGTCTCCGGCCTTCTTCTCCACCTCGAAGAACGCGCTGACCATGGAGTCGAGCTCGGAGTCAGTGAGGTGAGAGAAGAGGATGATCTTCTTGAGTAGACTCTTGAGCTTGACCTTGTCCTCGTCAGTCAGGTTCAAAGACAGCTCAGAGCACAGGGCCAGATTGATCTGGATGGGAGCTGCGCTGACAGCCTTCCTCCTCGCCCTTGGAGGCTGCGGCCCCTCCGGGTCCATCTCTGCGTTGAGGTGCAGGTTGAGATCGCACTGGAAGATCGAGTCAAGGCAAGGAGGCACGATCTCCTCGTCCAAGAACGCCTCGTACAGGTGGATCCTGCGGCTCATGATCTCCAGGCAAGGGCCGAGGAGCCGAACGAAGGCTTGCTTGTCAATGATGCAGACCTTGCACCGACTCACTGCGATGACGTTGGCTGCTCGCGGCTCGTTGCGGATCAGTGCTAGCTCACCAAAGTAGTCTCCCTTGGAGAAATCCATCAGTTTCTTAGAGGGCCTGCCCGGCCCGGCATTCTTGGTGGCTATGGCCGAACCCTCCTCGATGAAGAACATGGTATCACCGTCCTCCCCCTGTTCAATTATGTACTCTCCTCCCTCGAACCACTTGGCTTCCATCACGTCTGCCACCTTCGCAAGCTCCTCCGCCGTCAGGTTGGACAGGATGGGTACGCCGCGAAGGAACTCTTTGTACTGTCTCCGTCGCCGGGCGGTGGCAGACAGCACAAGGCACTGGAACGTGCCCCGGTCCAAAGACCACAAGTAGCAATCGGTTCTTGCCACTACGGTCGCGGCCCGGGGGGCATTGTAGAGAAGGGCAAGTTCTCCAACGCCTTTGCCCTCTGTCACTGTACATATGAGCATTGACCCGCCTTCTGCACTGTCGTGACGCAGAAAGTCAGTCGACCAAGGAGCTCCGGCAAGGTAGTGCTACCTCGCAACGAAGCAATCACACACTCCTTTGTCAACGATGTAGAACTTGTCGCCCATGTCTCCCTTGCGCATGATCACGGTCTCTGCCGCACACCATTCCGGCGCGAACGCATCTACCAGAGCATGGATGTCTTCATCGTGCACGTCACTGCCAAGTCGAAGGTCACAACAAGTTTTAAGTGAAATCGGATCCAAGGAGGCAAGGAGGTAGAATCACCTGAAGATCACCATCTCTTTGAGAACAGAAGCTAGCTTCTGCTTCTCCTGCTCCACCTTCGGGATGACAACTTTAGATATTGATGCCGAAACCAGAACTGGCCCCATGCTTTCAGAACTGACAGCGCCTGTAGAGTCCAACAAGCACATAGTTATGTGGAGACATGCTCGCACAAACCGAATCCAGTCAACCTCTGCGTCTTCTGGGATGAGCCGACACATTCGTGGGCTGAACAGGCTCTTCCTTCTCATGCCCGTGCGAAGATCCCTGAGAAACAATGAACCTCTCCATCTCCAAACAAGGACATCTACGTTCACATGCTGCAACGCGGCGATAACTTCTTGCTGCAGAGAAATCACATCTGCTTGCGCTGTGATCACCATATCCCCCTTCGACCTGCGGGAAACAATCATACTAACATTGGTCCAGATGGTCCGAGTACCCGGAACTTTCAAGCCGTTGCAGGTGAGACCTTGATCGCTCAAGATTGTGGAGCAGCTTGACGAGATCCTTTTCATGCTCGTTGAATTCAGGAAGATGGCTGCTCACACCTCCCGATGCCTTGAACGCAATCAGTTCAACATTAGATGGTCACTGTGGTAGGCCAACTGCAACTTACCCTTGAATCGAACAAAAACTTTGAAATGCGCCCAAACAGATTGAACCCCAACATCGTCAGGCTCGTCAGATCTCCAATCGCCTATGAGCACTTCCTCATCATGCGCGGCTCGGCCTCTGGCACCAAATGTATCAGCGATCCTCGAAGCGCTACGATCTCGATCCTCGTTGCCACCAAAAGGTCTGAAATTCCCTGCTTGAGAACCCAACACGTGATGGTGCGGGTGGGCAGGGGGGGGATGATCTTTCAGCAGCTATCTTCTCCTCGCATCATCGTCCTCTCCTCTCTCATGATACCTCTCGCGCTCCTCCTCCTCTCTCTTACGCACTAGCGACCTACCAGCCTGCTGCGCATTCCTGCCATTTCTGTTCTGACCACCCCACCCTCTGTTTTCAGTTCTCAAGATTAACCCACCCCCTCCCTGCAGATAAAATGACCCCCACCCCACAGATAGCGACCCCCTCTTCTACAAATTTGACTAAACCATCTTATATTTTTGCCGGAATCCAGCCGGCGAAGCAGGATTCAGTGACTAAAAGACTGTCATCCTCCGGGCCCGATGCCACCTTGTCCGGAGCCGGCGGGCCAACCGTCCCTACCCTATCCACCCCCCAGTTTGTACCCAGTACTGCCTAATAAGATTCTATATAGATAGGAAGGGGTACTAGAAAGATCCTACGTCCTACAATGAACTCGTACAACTATTATTGTTTTATTCCGAGCTTCCATAGACCTCCCTATGCTTTTCGGGTGACTGCTAGAACCTGAATAGGGCTTTCCTAATACCAGCTAGGGAGCCTAGGTCCCCGATGACTCACCATGCAGGTGACCACCCTACCTTCCCCAACCCTGCGAGTACCTCCCCACCCCTAGTGAATCTGCCACACCCGTACCAAGGCCCTCAGCCCCATGGGTTGAACCACCCCATCTGCACCACCCCACCCTTCCTGTTAACATCTGCCACCCCAAAAGCTTTTTACTCACACAGAGTCCCCGAGTCCCCACCCCTTGTATTCGCAATGATCACCCACCCCATACGTGGAATCGAGCGGTCTACATCCTCAAGAGCCCATGATTCATAGGGTAGGGTGTATACCCCTACCCTCGAATCCATATTGAAACACTTCCATCCAGCGGTCACGATGGAAATGTAAGGGAGACGGGGGGTACTTTGTATAAACTTGTAGGGGTGGTAAACCTCCTGGTATCTGAACAGGTGTCGGGAGGTTTACTATTAGAGGTGGGGTAGTAATGCTAGGGTGGTGAGGTCGGTGGGGTGGAAGGGTAGTGGGAGAGGATGGCGGGAGACGCATGCAGAGGATCGAAGTAATGGAGGGAAGGAGATGCGACGAAGCGACATGAGTGGAAATGTGCGGGAGTGGAGAATATGTAGCATTGCAACATGAAATGGTTATGTTGAACGAGCGCCTGGTATACACAGGTGCATGCTGATCAAGCGGAGGGGTAGGAAGGGATAATGTATCAGTTGGAAAAGTGTGCGCACTGAAGAGATGAATCATGCAAGGGCATTAGACAGTCAGGAGTGCAAGGGCATTAGACAGTCAGGAGCAGGTGAGTGGATGAGAATATTTCTATTTGCAATTCATGGGGAAGTTTAGTCATGCAATAGAGTATTACAACCTTGGGAAACAATCTGCCAGAAGGACGAGCATTACAGTTCTACCTAGATTCTTCTTTTTGTTTGGATAGACAAAGGAAACCCTTCGTAGCTTCCTGCTGCTCCTCACAATCCCATGCTCGAACCCGCACCTGCCATCTGGCAGCCCCGGCTCCATTCGCTAACTCAATGCACAGCATGGCGAAGACAGCGCACCTGCTGTTACACGTTGCCGTGATCCTCCTGGCGAGTGGCATCGTAACGGGTCAGTTCTTTGTGAACCTCGGAGACAAGCAGAAGCAAGGTGGAGGAACCGATGTCGCGTCGGGGTCTGCTGGGGGCGACGTTGCTGCTGGAGACCAGGGTGCAGCCTCAGGGGCCGACCAGCAGGCGCAGCTCCAGGTGCTCGGACTTATCCGTCCACTCGTCTAGTTGTAGTCAGACTTGGGTGCAGGAGGACTGGACTGCCTTTGTGAAGTGGTTCCGCTCCAATGGAGGGATCATCAGCTCAAAGTTGACTGTCAAGGTAAGCTTTCATGTGGATTTTTCTTCATTTCTGATGTGTTTTTCGTAGGTTAGGAACGGAAGGCAGGGTGTTTACTTCAAGGAGCGCATGAGGAGAGGTGAAACTATCGTTTCTTTCCCCAGAAACCTCCGTTTAGATGAGAAGACCGCTATGAAGGTAGGAAACGAAAGTTTATCCACTATTCACCTCGATCGATTCTTCTCAAAATTTGCCACGTCCATTGTTATGCTTCAGCTGCTCATGTAGAGATGGCAGGGCAAGGCCGGTCACGTCTTCCAGCGTCTCAAGCAAGACAAGTGCTATCCTGACTTGATGGTGATCCTCCATGTCGTGCATGAGGACAAGCTTGGAAAGGACTCGTTCTGGTTCCCCTACTTCAAGCTCCTCAGAAGGCAGTACAACAACATCATGTTCCTGACGGAGCCCCAGATGAAGACGCTGCTGAGAAGGCCCGGGTGTGAGAACACTTACAACCTCGGAGTGATGATGCGTCGTACGTTCAACAACTTCTACGAGTGGTACAAGAAGAACATCGAGCCATGGGCTCCACCTGAGTTCCAGTTCACCCGTGACGAGATCCTGTGGGGCTTCAACACCCTGGTCACTTGCGGGTGGGGCCAACAGAACGGCAACGGTGACAAGCTCATGGTTCCCTTCTCCGACATCCCCAACCATCGCCGCGAGTCTGCCCAGAAGGCTTCTAACCGTGGTTTCATCTCTGCTGCCAAGGAGTATCAGGCTGGAGAGGAGCTCACCTTCGACTACGGGCTGCTCAACGATGCTGTGCTGGCCTACTACGGACAGCCCACGCCCGATTGCCGTGGTCTCAAGCGGTAATGAGGACGTGAAGACTTTGAGGGCCCTCGGACGGCCAAAGGAACACTCGATCGAATTGTTAATAACCCAACGATAAGGCGTTCGGGTTAAATGATATGATGAATAAAGAACGCTGAACTGACTTGTATCCGTGTTTCATTCCATCCTCACATAATCAAGGTAATTCGGAACTATGTGCTGGTGAGAAACGCGATGAACTTTGACTTCTACATAACGAAGACTACAAGATTGCAACATGCAAAATATGAGTTTCGGATGCCCTGACGCTTCCTCCTCTCTCCAAGGGAGGAGACTTGGGGCTCGGACAGAGCATCAAGACTTGCGCCGGACCTCCACGTCGTGGATGAAGAGAACCCATAGGTCGTGAGTCTCGACCTGGTGCTGCTCCACCTTCTTCTTCTGCGGGGTCTGCGACTCGACTCTCGACCCATCGGTCAAGCGCAGGTAGGCCACGATCCACTCCCCCTTGGGCTCGTTCCACTGCTCTATCAGGATGACCTCCAATCCCTTCCTGAGCTTCTTGGGGTCAGCCTTCTTGCTCGGAACATACGCCGAGCTGTTCGTGCCATCGCCGGCGTCAATCTTGACGATGCTGTAGTGGTCCTTCACGTCCGCTACAGTCCCGGGAAACTGACGGAACTGACTCTTCGGTTTCTGTTTGGGGGCTGGGTCAGGGCTGGATCTTATAGGAGCAAGAGAGGAGGAGGAGGCTTGCGACTTTGGCGTCTGGGACCTGGGCGGAGGATGGGACTTCTCCGGGGATCGCGGCTGAGGAGCAGCTTCCTCTTTGTCAGGAGGTTTGAGGCATCGTGTGTAGCTGCTGCTCTGGACCAGCTCTGCGCGCTCGAAGACGCTCTCGTCGTCGAAAACAAAATCGACGACGCTCCTGTCCCAGCCCGGCTGCTCGACACGGTAGACACTCCTTATGTGCAACGTGATGGACTTGACATCCCGAGGGAAGCCTAGGACCTTGGTCTGCAACGCCAGAGCCATCTTGCGAAACTGCACGTTGTCCTCTGAAGTCATCTTGTTCGAAGGATAAGCATGTATGAAGTAGAACTTATCTGACTCCGCTATGATCACAACCGTGAAGGTATGGAGGCCCTGGACCGGCTCTGCAAGGATCATCTCGAAGGGCGATCCTTCAATCAGCTCACAGGACTCGGTGGTAAGAAACGAGGAGAGCATGGAGCTGTCGGCGAAGTTCACTATGATCATGTGCACCAAGTAGTTGGAGGAACCATCCTCCTCTTTCTCCAGGCTATTCATTGTCATCTTCTCCTGGTCCTTGCCAGCTGCACTCTGATCTGCCCGCTCGCCGACTGACTTGTCCTGGTACTTCTGGATTGCCTTCCTCAGCGGCTCGTTGCTCTTGAGGTCTGCCTTGGAGAGAGGATAGCGAGTCATCGGTGAGTTGCAACTTCGCTCCAGCCATTGCTCGATGGCCTTGCGCTCGTACGTGTGCCCCTGCCTGTCCATGACCGGGTCGCTCATCAGGTCCCCCGTGATGGGACAGATGAAATCGCTCAGATCGAACTCGATCTCCTTCCTGTTCAGGATCACGCGCATGCCCGTCACCGTGTACCGCTTCCCTCCTCTCGACACAAAGTGCTTCAACATGGACGGCAGGTGGCACTGGCTCGAGAAAGTCACTCTCTTGGGCAGCGCCAGGAGCGCTGGCCCCTCCCTGATCATGGTGGATCCCTTCCCCCTGCATCGTCGGCACTCAACGGTCCTAGATGAGAAGGATAGAGTTGCTGTCTGCTCAAAGCTGCCGCTGCCTCCGCACGCGGCGCAGTCCATCGCATGATTGCACATCTACAATCTGGCAAGTGGGTCGACGGAGAGAGGGAAGAAGATGAAGTCAGAGGGTGGAAGGGGGAGGCAAGAGGGTGGAGGTTATGCGGATGAAGAAGTAAGGTGGAAGAAGATGAAAGAGAGAAGAAGGGGTATCCAACGATGTTGAGGAGATTCAGGCTCGGTGTATAAGGAGGGGGCGGGAGGGGGGCGGGAGGGGGGGAGGGGGGCGCCAAGAAGTTGAGTAGAGAGGAGGGCGGGAAGGAGAGGAAAGGCGAGAAAGAGGGGAGAACGAGAGGAGAGGAGGAGAGAAGAAGGAACGAGAAGAGGAGAAGGAGGAGGGAGGAGGGGGAGGGAGGAAGGGGGAGGGAGGAAGGGAGAGGGAGGGAGGGGAGGGGAGGAGCTGTGACCGACGTGGAGCAGAACCCAAGGGGATACCGAGAGGACGGGTGGGGGAGAGGATCGTGTGAGAGGAGGGGGTAAGGGGTCGTGTTTTCGAGACTATTCCTTTCGGGGGGTGGGCATTCTCAACCAAGTACCGGTATTTTCTTTCTGAAAACTTAGGGTACATGGTGCTTCAGGGTCTTCAATCTGGCTGAATACGGTAGGGGTGGTGGAAAACTGGAGGTGGTGTGAACGGTAATAGGGCAGGGTAGGTGGTCACATTCTTGGTAGGAACAGAACAAAGGTACAAAATGCTCGCACAGGAGTAACAGGGCGGGGGAGGGGAAAGGGGAGCAGGAGCAGGAGGAGCGGAGGAGCAAGAGCAGGAGCAAGAGCAGGAGCAGGAGCAGGAGCAGGAGCAGGAGCAGGAGCAGGAGCAGGAGCAGGAGCAGGAGGACATCAGAACGATAGATGAAGGTGAAGGAAGGGAAGGGGGTGATGGTTGAGGATTTCAGTGCAGGACGGGGGGTGGAGGAAAAGCGAGGAGGCAGGTGAGGGTGCAGGTGCAGGTGGAGGAGGAGCACTCCTAGCTTGGATTTGACGCAATTCCATCAGTGTTGATCTAGTGATTCTGTATTTTACATAAAGAAAAATAAACTCGGCCCTCAAGGCATGATCTGATCTAGCCTCTGACTGGTCGTGCTGAGTTTTGCCGAGAGCATCGAGGCATCATTCTATGGATGGGTGAGAGACAACAAGGAAGAACCAACATGCTCCACCTGAGATTGCTGGGAGAAAAGCTCGCGCCGGATCTCCGGCGTGATGGCGTAATGTGAATGTACCCTCATGACCTACTCTCACTCTTCGTCAGCATACCTCACGTTCCACTCAAACTCGGAGCGACCTGTTTGATGCCTTCCTTCTGCTGTGCAGAGAGGTTGTTCTTGTACCGCTGCGTTCACAGACAGACAAAGTCAGCTCGCATGTACACTTGGGGAGACGCAGGAGCGAGGAGTCTGACCTGCGAGAAGACGAGGAGGGATTGGTGCCACTTGACTGGAAGCTCTCTCGTCTCATTCTTGAACTGCACAAAGTGCTCCACCACCTGCATGCTGTCACGAGCACGTCGGGCAGGAGGAGGAGGAGGAGGAGGAGGAGGAGGAGGAGGAGGAGGAGGAGGCTCACGGCATCGATGACGCGGTACGGCAAGGCGTACTTCTTGTCCAGCAGAGTCTGGACGCAGAGGTAAGCTCGCCAAGAGCGCGAGAAGAGCAAGAAACCTTGATGAAGATCGACTCTGAGCCAGTGTACACCTTCGACATGGCAAGTCTGAGCAGGGCAGCGCTGGAGTGGAGGACTGGGATAGAGACCTGAAGGTTTTCATCAGAACCCTTTGAAAGAGCCTGCAGTCATCACCTTCTTGATCACTGAGCTCAACACGGTGGCTTCTCGAAGAGTACAAGATCCGGAGTCACAGATGGGCAGCACGATGCCCTTGTAGAACGCTGCGGGTTTGTAGCAGCACTTCTTGAGGGCCTGGTACAAGTGGTAGTTGAGGCGCTTGTTTTGCTTCAGGTCGTCTATCACTCTAGGCAAGAGGACGAGGTTGTAAAATCTCTGTGCCATCTGATCCTGCAAGCAGGAAGCAAAGATCCGCGTGCACGCATAGTACGCGTGGTTGCTCCATGCCTCCGGCTCCATGATCCAAACGATCTGCTCCCAGTTTGACAGTGAAGGGACGACCTTGAGAGCCTTTGGCAGCTTCCCTGACTTGTATCTTGACAACAACTTCCCAACATTCTTGTAAACTTCGACCACCTTGGGATCGATGTCGTCGTAACCTAGCTCCTCCATCTCAACATCTTCTCCTGTTGTCTGGCGCTCGCGCATTTTCTCCTCGATGAGGTCCGCGATCGTCTTTACCTTCCCTTGTCTGGGCTTGAGAAAGAGATTGAACGCCTCCTCTTCCTCCTCTGTGATCTGTTGCTCCTCCTTGATGTACTGCTCGTAGTCATCGATCCCAGAAGTCGCTGTGAACTGAGACTGTGCATCGTCGCTGTCATACTCGAGGTTATCCTCCTCCTCCGCACCCATCTCGTCGCCTCCATCCTCAAAGTCCTCCTTCTTGAGCTCGAGGGCCTGCAGCTGAGCCTGCTTCATCACCTTGGAGTCCGCCATCTCCTCGACAGCATCGTCGTCCTTGTCGTTCTCCTCCTTCTCAGCCTTCCTCAACTTCTTGAAGATCCTCGACTTGAGAGGCTTCTTCTGATTCTTCCTGGGCTGGGGCATTGCCGTCTCCTCGCCCTTCATCTGAGCTTCTAGCGTCGGCCTGCTGGAGGCATCTGTCTTGGCTGCCTTCCTCTTCCTCCCCGCGTCCCCCTCCTCGTCTCTGTTGCGCATTCCTTTGGCCATGGCGACCGCACGTGCTGGCTCAATTACCTTGACTAAACTTTTTCCTATTCAAGACTCTGAGGCAGACTCGCTTTTCCTATGGTGGTCAGAACTATCAATTTCGTTGCATCGGGGGTTGCAGTAGCAACGGATTTTCAACGGTCGTGGTAACTATCGTCGTACGGGCCTGGAGTCCTGGCCATGTCGAACTTGCGAACGCAAGAGGAGGCTGAGTGGCGGCGATGACGGCGACCGTACATGGCGGATCAGTCAGCTCAGTCAGGCTCCAGTGACCGTCGGACCGTACCGTGAGGCTCTGCTTGGAGGAGGGGAGGACTCGACTTGAAGCCTGCTAACCGTGAACGGCACTGATTGAGTTGAAGTTGGGCTAGAGCTTCGGATCCTGATGCTTCCACTGTGTGTGTGAGAGAGAGAGATGGTAGAAGGATAGGTGGTGAGCGAGAGGAGGTCAAGTTGTCGTCATGAGTCGTGAAACATCAGGAGAGAGAAGCGACGTATACTAAAGAGGAGCAGCTGAGCCTGGTGCCAGATCAGATGATGGATCAGGACGCGTACCTCGCCGGTGAGAACAGCGATAGTAGCGAACGCGGCAGACACGAGGAGGAGGAGGAGGAGATCGACTCGCACATGGATGTGTACAACATCCAACTGTCACGACTGCTCGACGACTTGGAGAAGGAAAGAGAGGGCAGGCCGAGCAAGGACGTGTATGTGGGAGGACGGGACGAGGACGGGCTCCCGCATGGGCAAGGCTGCATTCTGTACTGCGACACCATGATCCGATATGAAGGAGAGTGGAAGAATGGCGTACCTGAAGGTGAGCGCGTGATGAAAGGAGAGGAGAGGAGAGCAGAACGGAGGAGAGGAGAGGAGGGGAGAGAGGGAGGGGAGAGAGGGAGGGGAGATGAGAGAAGGAAAGGAGGGGAAGGAGAGGAGAGGAGAGGAGAGGAGAGGAGAGGAGAGAGGAGAGGAGGTGGCAGCGGACGTCAACCGAGCGACAGGCCGAGGGAGGATACGATGGAGGAACGGGTCGAGGTTCGAGGGGCAAGTAGCAGAGGGGAAGCCTTTCAGCGGTGTGCTGAGGAAACAAGACGGGTCGATGGTTATCTTCGAGGAGGGCAGCATCTCGCAGAGGAAAGGTGCCTGACATTCCTTGCTGTCTGTTCTTGCGCTCATGCTTCTTGACCTGTCAGTGCTCGCAGCTGATGACGAGGTATTCTGTCGCTTCCTCCTCCTTTATCTACAGCCTCATCCTTCCATTCTCACCTTCCAACTTCTCCCACCTCCTCCATCCTCCTTCTTACTTCTTTCGCTTTGTTCTCCTCCTCCTTATTTCCCCCTCCCCCTCCCCTTCCTCCTTTCCCTCTCTCTCTCTCTCCTCTCTCTCTCTCTCTCTCTCTCTCTCTCTCTCTCTCTCTCTCTCTCTCTCTCTCTC